GCGGTGGGGACGGTGGGGAGGCGGGGGCTGGGAGGCTGGGGGTGGGGGGGAATCTGGATGGGGGGCTTCCCCTGCCGGTCCTGGGCAGGGGGAAAATGCATCGGACAGCAGGCAGGGGACGACGGGGGATGGGACGTTTCACACCTAGCAAGCAGGAGCAGATGGGGCTGGGGTTAAACACCACAAAGAATTAACTTGCACTGCCACAAGGAGCCTGGGACTTAGCAAGCCATGCCCTTCCCTGGGTCCACGGCAGACTGTTCAGCATCGGGTTAGCAATGCAGAGGGGGTTTCTCTTGGGTCTGTAGCTAGTCAGGGAGCTGAGATATGGCCCTGCAGTGTAAACAGAGCCATACAACCCTGCTCAAGTTGTCATTCCCTAGTCCTTTTCCCAAGCCCTGCCCCCAGGCACACTCTGAAATGGCCATGCTGTTTGCTGGGGGAGAAACGTGAGAAGTAGAGCCAGAGTGCTGTAAAAGATGTAAATGTTTCAGTGCTGGGAGCAGCTTGGAGTGTCTAGGGCACAGCCTCAGCGGGGGGATGGAGAGGCACGGAGAAGGCACTTCTCCCTTGTTCTTGATCTTGGCTGCCTTAGGAGGGGTCCAGGAAAAATCCTGGAGCTGATTCACTAAAGTGAGCTCACAGCATGTGCTTTATCAGGTGGGGGTCGTGGGGTGACAGGGACAGGACAAAGGGCAGGGAGGAGAAGGAGGTAGGATGAAGGGTTTGGGATAGACTGTTGTGGCCATCTCATCTCTGTGTCAGATCCCCTGGCTCCCTTGATGCTGGGAAGCCATTTCATCAGCAGGAGAGGGAGGGAAGGGGAGAAATATCCCCTTGCCATACGGTGGGTGGGGGAGCAAAGGAGTCAGTTCAGTCCCAGTGACCACTGACATGGTGACACACACAATTGCCACAGCTGCAATACTGCACCGTGAGAGGATGTGACTGCCTAGGAGCGACCATCAGCCAGGTCTGATGCAACAGCTGAGAAAAAACCTGATCCTTTTAACATAAAAATTAGTCACCGCTGAGGTCAGGTTTTCAGAGGGCTGATCTCTGCCCTCTGGAGCTTAACCTTTAGGTATGACTGATAGTGTCGTGAATTCCAGCAGTAAAAGAGCTGAGAGAAGGGAGATGAGGGCAAGGAGAAAGGGACACCACTGAGGAAACAGACCGATGCGCCTTCTTTCATCCCTGAGTGTGTATACGCCGATTTTGTGTTTCGAAGTGCCTGGACCCGTGAGCAGATAGCAGCAGAGCAAAGATGAGGGAGACAAAGCTGAGGGAGATGAAGAAAGAGAGGGCTGGAAGGTGGGGAACTGCCAGGAGAACAAAGCTACTTGGTGTATGGGAAGAGGGACCTACGGGGTATGTGCCGAAGCCCAAAGACTCTGCAGAAGCAGCAGCATAAACAGGATGGTAGGTGTGAGAGGTTCCTGAGGAAGCAAGAGACTCCAGCTCATAGAAGCCCTCATCTCTTATTGTCAGACTTGTCCAGAAATTTACTTGTACTGACGCATTTCATAACCTGGAGTTCAGGTGACTGTCCAAATCTGGGGAAAAAAAAAAAAAAATGTTTTCTGCATTAAACTTGGCATCACTGAGAAGCCAGAGAGGGTTAATTCACTGACACAGCCCATTGCCGCTTTCTTGAAGTCCCTCTCTACCCTCCGCTCAGGTTTTCGCCCTGCCCTGCTCCCTTCCGTGCAGGAGAGCGGGGAGCACCCACCGCCATTCACCACTGTGCTGGGCGTCGCTGCCTTATCCCCAGGCCCCGGCTTGAGAAATCCCCGCAGGCAGGGGCTGCCACAAGTTGTGCGTCCTTTCGAGGCAACCCAAAACTTCACTGCCCGCCCCAAAATAACCCAAACCTGCAGGGATCAGCCCTTGCTCCTCCTTTCCCGTGTCCCTGGGACAAGTGGGCAATGCCCACTGCCCAGCGGGACCGTCCCTCAGCCTCTGGTCTCGTCCACCTCCTGGACCTCAGGGGTCGAGGCGGCTCAGCCCTGGAGCCCGCCCGGCAG